TACAGTGCATGAAATCCAGGGCAGACTTTTTTCAACAGTTAAATAGTTTCTCTTTAATATTTCATTATATCTATTTTAACCCCCTAGAATTCTCAGAAACTCATTAATCTAAGTCAATGTCAACAAGACAATACTGGTATTTTACAAAAATATATTGGTAACTTCCCAAAGTCATGGTACAATCTAAGTGTTGACATGGCATGTAAGACAATTTTTTATGATTCAGGTGTCTCTGCAGTAGATTATGTCATGAGAACTGGCACAGCACTCTTTTAATTCCTGCTTAGTCGAATATTATTTGCCATCTTTCTGTGATTATTTTAATTTTTATTTGAATAAAAAGAATAACAGAAATATTTGAATAAAAGAGAGTGCTAATCAGATAATACAATGCAAGTAATGCAAAGAAAGAGAATACTGTCTAAAGGAGACTTACAGACTTACATTGGGAATGTAACCATCTATTGTTTTCCTTCCTTGCCCTCTGTTATGATTTTTCAAGGCACACCTCTCCCAGAAATCTCACTGCATAGAAAAAAGTGCATACAAATCATGTTCTTCAAAGCCAAGTGTGACACCCTCATGTCACTCAAAGTGTTGAGAAAAGAGATAAAACATAGAAAGACTGTTGCAAAAGATCTGTCAGATAAATATTAGTCATGTTTCCAAACCACACTCTGAAATAGCTTTTTACCTTTTTTGTTGCAAGGGCATGCCAACCTGTGAGATGACACATACTACAGCTCCCAGTAAGCTTAACAATTGCACCAGACCTAATCAGACTGGATTTTTGTTATCAGGATCAGTGCAAATAGAGGCCAGAAGCAGCAGCAGCAAGACTTCATCTTGCCAAGAGTTTACCTGGCCACCCTGTCAGTGCAGTTTGTATTTGTATTATCCTGCTCCTCTGGACTCTGACAAGATCAGCAAAAGCTGCTTGCCCCACTTATTTTTAAATAACATAATCATAATTTAATATTACTTTGCTATTAGTTATTATAATAATAAGTTTTCTTAGTCTATCTACTGTTTCCTCAACCTGTGTGTTTGCTCAAGAAACGAAAAGTAGAAATCTTCCCCAATATCAACACAATATTCAGCTGGGGAAAAAAGGACAAGTATTATTTTCCAGAATATACTAGAAACAGAAAAATAAAGGAAGTAAAATTTTTATTGACTTGTCTTCTGCAGACTCTTCTAGTCCCTATTTGAAACCACTTTCTGTCTAATTTTTGATGGTTTTTTTCTCAGTAAATTGGTCTCGATGTCATTAATTTTCTAGTAGGTTTGTAATGAGGTCAGATCACTATGTGGAACATTTTTTTCACAAAAATTAACACAGCAATATGTTCCTAACAGGTATGGATGAATGACTAATGGAAACCAGGAGAGCACTAGGATCCTATTCCTTCTCAAACACAAAAGAAGAAAAATTTAAAAAAGTCAGTGAGCACAAGCCAGCCTCAGCTCCAGTACAAATACAAGAGAGCTAAATACTCCTTGCAACAGCAGCAGTCATGCATGACCTGCAAAGGCCAGAATTAGGGCTCAGGCTCTTCTGAGCTGATGAAATTGTAACAATGCAAAGGCAAACCAACAGATTGGTAAGAAAATCAGGATAGTTTTAGCAATGAACACTGTAAGTTGCTGATGCTTCATGTGGCCACTGCTTCTGAAAAAAATATGGCTAATTGTGGTTGTATCAATATAATAAAGAACTTAATTCCTTACTTAAAAAAAAAATGCATGAAGAAACCCATATTTGCTAACAGTCTGGATTAAGGAGATTGACATTTTGATCAACCTGTGTTGTTATCTCTCCTTCTACAAAGCTCAGGTGTTAACTCTGCATTGCAAAGAAGCAAGGATTAAAGCTGCCCTTGCTAGTATTTCAGCAAAACATGTTGCATGTTCCTATCTTTTTCCGACTGAAATACTTTGCTGTAAGCTAGCAGTGTTGCTCTAACTCCAACATCTAAGAACATAAATATTACATGGGATGTGAAGCAAGGTGTCATCTGTTATTTTTGGAATACAGCATTTAGGGGTGGAGAATAAAAACTAATTTTCAAGTGGGACTTGTACAGAGCAGACACCAAGCCAAGTACAGCCTGGGAGTGACTGCTCTGGCTGTAACTTAAATTAACATTCCTTAAGAGAGCAAGACAGCTCATCAAGTATGTCAGCTAGGAGAGCTGAGAGATTACAGAAGTGAACTTCCATGGCACAACAATGGGTTACTAGCTAATGGGATGTACAGAAAACTACAGTACTCATAAAACATTTACTAATCAAATACTGAGGCCAGTTTTGAATACTGACTGGAGCTGGTATTCTGGGTTCCCAGGTTTGCCTTTGTAGATCTTTCCTGAGGACCAGGTTTCACTATGTGAATAAAAAGTTTTCCTTCTTCAAGGTGGGTGTTTCTTGTTTTTCACTGATCATCCTTGTGAGTTAACCCTACTCTGGGCCTGTGTTGTTTCACCTTCGCCATCTCCCCAAAGCCATTTTATCATCTCATGAATAAAATGCATCTGAGATGTTTATGTTTAGGGTGTTTAGGTTTTTAATAATTCTGTTGTGAGGCTTTAATTTATAATCCTTGTGTGAATGTCCTAAGAGTTACACATCTACCTCAACAACACAAGAACAACTCTCACCAATCAAGGACATTCCTCTAAGAGGTCAGATTGTACCTCTGAAAGCACTGCCTTCAGGCAGTTCCTGTCAGGGCTCTGAGTGCTCTGGCAAGCCTAAACTGGTCACAACAAGCCGTGATCAACCTCACCTGTGACCTCCATGCACATGTCTATGCTCATTCTCCCAGCAGCTCTATTTCAGCTCTTGCCTGAGCCTTCAGCCCCTGCCTGAGCTGCAGCACAACTGTGCCTGTCCCCAACTGTCCTGATTTAGACACTGGTTTTGCTAAAAGGACTCCAGACTGACAAAAGTGGTAGCCTTATATCATGTCCCTTGGAATGACATTAGATTTATGACATAGCCTTGTTTCTAAGCCCTCTCCTGCTGTTCCTTCCCAACTGGACTCCCAGGATCAGGCTCATCACCTTGACTGGGGAACCCTGTCACTATCACCATCCTGCCCTGCTCAGCTCCTGTGGAAGTGCACCAGGTGAGCTCCTGTGGTTACCCTCAGCACCCATTCTCACTGCTCCCTGCCACTGGATATCATACAGAACTGGGGGGGAAAGAGTCCTCTCACCATTTGTATCTCCATGTGGGAATCTGTATGGGAAATCATTATTTACACCATGTCCCAAAAGCGTACGATTACTCCTACTAAGTTTTCCCAGAATGGCTCTTCCACAGTGTAGGAACATCTCCCAGCTACCCCAACACTTTGAAATTCACCTCCCACAGAACAACAAACACCAAAATTAAACAAGACTACGCAATCAACACAAGAACTTCCAGCATCTCTGCTTTACACAGCAAAGATTCTGTGCAACTCTGCCTCAGTGCGTGCTAACTCATCACTTCTAGGTTAGCTACACTCCTACCTCCCACAATCCCATGACTGCTCTTTGTTCCATCTATCTTAACTGCTCTTTTCCTGCAGTTAAATTAAGCAATGTTAATTAGGATGCTCCCAAATAAATTGTTCCCTGTCTGGTTAAGCCTGGTGGTCACTGGAGGAGTGGTCACTCTTTCAGCAAGAGCTGAAAGATCTAGGTATGTTAAAGATACAGATATATCTTATATGGAGAGATATATCCTCTAAATGTATGTTAGTTTAATAAATTACTATTGTTTTTCTCACTATAAGTTTTGCCTCTGTAACCATAGGCCCTTATACTTAGTAACATATGGATTACTAGTATTTCTAAGCTTTTCTGGAATTATGCTAGCTGGAGACACTAGTCCTACAGCTATCATAAAGAAAAGCTTTGGAGGATCATCTCAGAAAATCCACAGTAAAAAGGTGCATATTGATCCTTGGGTACCTTAGTCATGAAAACCACACAGGAAGCTCTGCAGAACAAAGGCATAAGAGAATGCTGGAGGAGAATGCATGCAGCTGTTTTCTCTGAATGCAGACTGAGGGGCCTAAACAGGCTAGAATTAAAAAGGAATAAAATATCTATTCACCACTTTCTTGCTGAGATTTACAGAGTAAATACACGTCTGCCTGCAGGGAAGTGAGCTAGGTTTCACACAGTACCTGAGTACAGCTTCAGTGAGACACTTCACACTCTCTGGCTCAGATATGTGGCTAAACATGGGAACACCGTTGTGCTGCAGCGAACATAAGTGTAGTAGTACATGCAAAATATTCTACTGTGGCTTTGCTGCTGATCCTTAATTATCCACATTAAAAATTGTTCTTTCCTCTGATAAATATTTTTCAAGTTGTTTTCACTCTTAAGAACATAGTGACAAATTCCCTTTGAAAAATAAATTCCCAACACCACATTTATGTTAGAAGTTCTCAGGAAAAATTTGAAAGAACTGAACAACACGATTGTTCCCTTTCACTTTTCCCCATCGCCTTTGTGGTCGGTTTCACAATTTTCCAAGCATATCGGGAAATTTCAGGCACCTCGGGAAAGTGTGTGCAGTGAATCCAGGTGTTGGTTAGGTGGATACGATTAACAAGGAAGATAAATCCACGGAGTTGAGGCTCTGCTGGCAGATGTTGAATGGTATTTGGAAAACAGCCCGACATCACCAGCCGTGAGCGCTGTTCGCAGGCGGCGCTGCAGGAGCTCGGCCCTGTTTCCACAGGTGCTCACAGACCGCCAGAGCGCCGCTCGGGTGTCACCTCTGTAGCACCTGGTGAGGCACACGCATCTCCCCGCTTGCTAGCCTCCCCTTACGACCACCGCAGCGTTTCGCCGCCCACTCTGGCGGAAAATACTGGGAGAAAGGAGAGAGAGAGGAGAGCCCACCTCGCCGCGCCCATGCCCAGCCCGGCCCCCGCCCCGCGGCCCCGCCCCGGCCCGCCCCTCGCCCGGCACCGCGCAGACCGCGCCCGGCGAGCTCCGGCGGCCCCTCCGCGGCCATGCGGCTCCTCGGCGGCGCCTCCTGCGCTCTGTGGGCGCTGCTGCTGCTCGCCCGCGGCTCCCGTGAGTAGCGCCCGCGGGGGGACGGGCCGGGCGAGCGGAGGGGCTGGCCCTGCGCCCCTCGCAGCCGCTCTGCCTGCCGGCTGCCGCCACAACTCCGCTGGGCCCGCCCAGGCCTCGTCCCGCCGCTGGTGGCCGGAGCGGGGCCGGGGATACGCCCTGGCTGCCCCCGAGCGTCCCGGGGCGCGGCAGCGGGACGGGCCGGGCCGGCGGTCACTGACTGCTCCCGAGCGGGAGCCGAGGGGGCCCGGCCGGCATGTCCGGGAGCTGTGACAGAAACGGGGAGGAGCGGGAAACGCTCGGGGTGTTTGTTAAACAGGAACAACAACGAGAGAAGAACCCCCGGGCAGCGCTTGGGCTGGGGGAGCGCGGGGAGCCCTCAGGGATGCGCGGGCGCGGCCCCGCCCCCGGGAGCCGGAGCGTCCCGGGAGGGTCCGGCCGGGGCAGCCCCGGCAGGGCCGAGAAGGGCCGATCCCTGCCCTCTCTGGGGCTGTGCTTCGGGCCAGGGGCTTCGGGCCCAGGGTGGCGGTGCGGGTGGCACAGCCGCCGCGCTTTGTCGCGCTTCTGGCAGGCGCTCGCAGCAGTGCCCCGTTGCAGTGGCCGGTTCTAGCAAATGCGCAGCCTTGTGCCCGGGCTCAGAACACCACAGTCAGGGGATCAGCCTTGACAGGCATGAAGTAAACCGAGAAACGTAGAGCTCTGAGCTGCCGAAGTTGCCTTTTCAGAAGACTGAAGTGTCCCATACGGTGCCACACAATTTTCCAAAGTAAAGAAGTCAAAAGATGATGGGTACTGGAAGTAACCTGCTGTAAATATTGCCGAGCAATCTCAGTCCGGCAGTGTTAATATGTTGTTGTTTAATCTGGTGAAGTTATAATATAAATTGATTTTTAAAAAATAGAATGAGGAATGTAAACAGCTTTATAATTTCTCTTCCCAAAAGAAGGGCAAGTTGTTTTTAAAAGGAGTTAACAGTAACTTGTTTATTGCTTTACTAAGATCTTATGACCTCCATTTAACAACAATAGCCTGTCATTTCATGTGATATAAGATTTCACTGATCTGTCTTCTATCATGCTGCTTCCTGAGTGCATGTGGTGATTTAACTCAGAATACAGTCACTGCTGTCTCCTGGGGCAGGGCTGCTCTCATGTAACTCCTCAAACTCAGTTGTAGTCCTTCCTCTGTATGTGAGCTTCCTCTGGAGCTCAGCTGTGATATGTTGAAAGAAATTGTGCCCTTTTAAGGCTCAGTTTAATGTATCTGTTGAAATAGCTTTTATTTTTTTCCCCTTTGTCCGCTTAGAAGCTTCCAGAAAGTACTGCTGAGGTTTGTGTTGATTTCAGCAGACATTTGTGATTATCTAATCAGCACTACAGGAGGAAGTGTGAACCTCATCAAATACTCCAATATGCAAAAAGTGAAAGTGGCAGATGTGTCTCACTCCAGTTAATATTTTTGTGCAGAGTGGTTATTTCAATATAATGCTGCTCTTTTACTCTGCTGGACAGTTTTATTTCTATGTGTCAGTCAAGCCAGTGGAAGAAATGTTATTTAACTAAAATAATATGGTTTAGAAAAAATCCTTCCCTCTATTATGTAAAATCCATCTGGCTTCCTGGTACCTGAGTAAGGAAAATCCCCTCTCCCTGTCAGGAAGCGGCCCCCACCCCCTTCCTGTTGTGCTGAGAAAAGGTAGCGAGTGACATCTTCCAAGAGCTTACTTGTGTACAGAACTACTCACAGTAAAAAAAACAGCAGCAGCAGCAGCAGCCTTCAGGCCTGAAAACAGGCTTGATATTTTGATTTTAGTGTATCATATTGTCTTAGAAGAAGCTATATTCATATTCATCTAAGATCTGTGCTTTAACCGTTCCAGCACCTCAGCTCTTCCTCATCTGGATTTCTTAGAGATTACTGAGCAAGTGAGTGACCTTTCTGATGGACTGCACATTTTCAGTGCTTCTGTACTTTTGGGGTTTTAAACCAACAACAGCAGAATGACTTGGGCATAAAACTCCCCTCTGTGCCTGCTATGCATTAATCTTGAAAAGAGACAATGCCCAAAGAGAGTTTTAAATACAACTTTTGCCATGTCCCCAAAATGAGTATGTAAAGCTGTGCTTAGTAACATTGGAAGTTCATATACCAACATTTTGTGCAGCATAAAGTTTAGCTACACTAGACATAAAGTGTGTGAGTTCTGAGAAAGGAGTTTGTCATTTATGTAGTGGTTGGAGTGAACAAATTGACCTTTGTCACATGCAGGTAGTTGAGTGACTATTGGCATTCATTTGTGTAGGTTCCTTCTACCAGGGTTCAGCCATGGAGAATAGTAATTTGGTATGTGTCTAAGCTGAAGACTACAGATTCCAAGTGACTGCTATCCACTGTGTTGATTTTTGCAGCACCTGGCAAAATCAAGTCCATTTAACATCCCGTCCTTTTTATTTTTAGCAGGTATCAGAGCTATTCCTATCACACACCCTGTATGTATTTGTTTAACACCCAAGCACAAATCTTCAGTCTCTGCCACTTTAGAAATCCCAATTCCAGCTATGAAACTGGAATAATTGGACTGATTTTGCCCTTTTGAAAGTTTGCATATCCAGATTGTCTTCAGTTTGTGACTTCTGATGCACTAGAGCAACAAAACCGCAAGAGGCCCTGAAAGCACTCGAAATGCCAGACTCTGACAGCGGCTTTCACAGGAAGCACGCTTGCCTTCAGATACACCCCAGCCAGCCACAGTTCTGTGGTTTTTTAGCTGTATCTGTGACTGACCTTAAACACAGCAGAACAGTGTTGTTGGACAAAACTCATGTTGATCCCTCATCTCTGTCCTTTTCCAGTATGTGGTGCTCTGATCCAGGTTTAAGTTGGGTATATCCCTGTGTTGGTTCTTTTTAGCTGTGAAAAATGAAAACAGGAGATCCTTTCTTTCTGTCCTCTCTCCTCTGGGTCACAGGGAGAGTAAACCTCAGCACAGAGTTTCTCTGCTTAAGATTCATAGGCCTGATGTTGCAGCTGATGCTGTGGCCCCAAGAGCTCTGCTTCTGCTCGTGCACAGGATGCTGCAGCTGGCTGCTGACTCTCTCCCCTTCCTTCCTGTGCTAGCCCATGTATCTACACCTGGGCCAGTGTGGATTTCTAACCCCTGCACTTCTGCTTCCTGGAGAAGGCCAGATCCCCTCCCTGTTTTGCTTTGGGACAGTTGAACGGTGAAGCCTGTTGTCTGGGATGAGAGGTTCTACTTGTCAGAGCCAGCCCTGCATAAAAGGAGTCCTTTCTCCCTGCATAAAAGGAGTCCTTTCTGCCTCCATTTGAAGTCTCCTGCTTGCCATTGCAGTGATTCATGCAGCTTCAAATTCAAGGGCACAGTCTCAGGCTAGAGAACACTTTGGGAATAGTGTCATTTTAAGATGTTCTTTTATCTGCCTTGTCCCATTCACTGTGATGTATTCCAATGTGGAATATGCTTATGCAAAACCCCATTTAAGAAGCATTTATATTCTGGAGCCAGTGCATGTTAGTCAAACTAAGAAACTTACCAGTGTTTTGGTTTGTTTAAGAAGGAAAAAAATAAGCATCTTTTAAACTGGATAAGGTCCTTGACATATTTCAATATGTGCAGTCCAAGCTGGTCCGAACTAAACTGAGACAGTCCTGCCTTTACTTCCACCTCTATTCCCTGCCTGTCTCTTTCAACCAGTAATATACTGAGCCCTTTCTACTGGTTAAAAAATTTCTCTGCAGAAACAACCATTGTGTGCTGTTGAAGAAGGAGGTAGTGTCAGTTTTGTGGTGGCTTAGCTTTCCCAGTCAGATCATTGTTTCATGTGGGATATAGAACAGTTTTTGCAGGATTGGGTCCTCTGTGGGGAAGCTTAGTTTAGCAGCGTCCCATCCTTTGTTTGCTTGTTTTCCCTAATCTCCCTAATTAAACAGTGTAACATACTTTGCCGTGCTGCCCTTGGTCTTGATATTGAAGGGATGAGATACAATGAGTTATTTTGCCATTTGCAAACTTCACCATTTTGAGTCCTTGACTAAGGTTTTGTAAGCAAGGAGAAAATGCCCTATTTCTGTGATACTCAGTTTAGGTTATTTGCTTGTCTTTTACACGATATTAGGTGATCAGAACTAAACTGGTTACCAAAGGCAGAATCCACGGCTGATCCTCTTGTATGTGTGATAATGTCAGTCTAATCATTCTCTGTGGTTTATCTTTAAATTTTATCACTTCTTTAGAGGCGTGATCCTTCTCAGTCCCATTTCCCACCTGCCAAATGCTCAGTGGATGCATTAGTGTGCCCTTAGCCCCAAACTGAATAATGTAACTTCTTAGTGGAGCTTTGTGTTACCATGTTGTCCATTTAGAGCTAGAGAAGCACCTATCTGCCTGAAAAGGCCTGCCAAACTTCACAGGAAGAGATAGAAGTGAGAAATTCTTTCTCTTCTGCTGTAGGTGATTTAGGTCAGATGTTATTACTGAAGGAATGTGCCTGAGATTTTGCTTCTTTTGGTCTCATTTCATCTTAAGGAAGATAAAAACTTGGGATGGGGATGATGGAGAAGATAAAGGGTAGGAGGAGTTTCATTTGGTGGTTGGGTAGTATAAATGATGTCACTTTTAATGCGCTCAGAGCAGGCTGTTGTGCTAACATGCTTCTATATCATCATTATGACTGATTCCTGTCCATGGTAAATTAGTCATTTCTATACCCAAAGCAAGTGGCAGATGCTATAACCTTTTGTTCTTCTTCCCCCTAAAACGATCTTATTATTCCTGTGGTTTTTAATGTAGGTAATGAAGGGACAAACAGCACTGAAGGTGTGAACAGCACTACTCCGATTCCAGGCAGTAGGTTGCCAGGTAATACTTTTGACATTTCTGTTGGTGTTCCTCAGTAGCATCAAGAAAAGCAATATGCATTGTTTGTTGTATTCCTTAAACTGTCTTGTAATAATTTGCCCTTTATTTTATTTTACTGAATTGTGAGCAGCTGTAGGGCAGAAGGGAGGTACTGTGATTGCCACACCTATTCTGGGACAATTAAAGATATTTAAGGGGAACGGTAAAACCCAATTCAATTCTCATATCCTTGGGTACCGCAGAGCAACAGAGAGAGGAGAAGTAAAATGGGAAAATATTGTGTACAGAACTAGAAACACCCAGCAATGTGAATTTATAGTTAAAAGGAGAACCAAGAATGGTGCTAGATTAGAATTCAGTGATCTTCATGTAAAGGCAAGGCATTTTTTCATTTGAGTCATTTTTGCCCTGTATTACTTCAGTCATCTCATTTACTGGTGGCCAGCAATACTCTGCTGGTTAACTCACTCTGTCTTGTGTGAATTGCAGTACTGACTCACACCCAAATTCCAGGCAGTAGATGTGGCTCCTTTTTACCTGTATGAACGTGCAGTCCCCATCCAGAGCTGTCCCAGGGTTGCCAAAGTAAGCACTTGGAACCTGGGGAAAACTGAAAGATGTGTTCTGGTTACCGTGTTGGGCCTTTGTGGAAAAAGTTTAACCCCAGGCATATCCATGGCTTATGCTGGGATAAAAGTCAACATATGTAAGAAAGAATGTGCTTGTAATTGTACAATCATAGACCCTTTCTCAAAGGCAGTTAAATCTGCAACTTAATGTCCCAGTTGTGTCAGTGTAAGGGTTGATTGTGCAGTACACAGTGTCGGGGGCTACTTGGCTGTGATTATACCAAACAAAAAGCAAAGTAATGCCCTCTGTAATTTCCACCCCTCCTACCATTTTTTGGTATGAAGATGTAAATTTGGTGCATTTGTTCTTAACCTGACCTTGCTTGTAATGTATAGTTTTAGACTAGACTTTTCCAGTGGTAAGAACAGCAGATCCATTCAGAGGAAATAGGTGTAGGTCTGCTTCTTGATTGCAGTAACTCTGTCGCTCTCCTCTTAATCTCTGAGGTTATACTTTGTTCTTCAGCCATGCTGAAAAGCAGCAGAGCTGTTGCAAGGCACATAGCCCTGCCAGTGTTGGAGGGTGCTGTAAAAGATGACTTACTTCAGAGAACAGAATGGTCACAGAATGGGCATTCACAACAGTGCAGAATGAAGGGGGGAAGGTATGGGCAGTGACACTCCCAGGAACAGCCCAGTAAATCTTTGCCAGGAGGAAGAGACACTTAATCTCTGAAGAGGGATGCAGCAATGTGGAGAGAAATGAGTGGGGGAGTGCCTGAGAAGGCTAGAAGCAGGAAGGAGGGCTATAAGGAGGAAGGAGGGACAAGAAAAAGAGAACAGGAAAAGGAGAAGTGAAACAAAGGAGAGAAAGGCAAAGCCACTAAGACTGGGTTGCATTTTATGTTTGGAAACTGGTACATTCTTGGGACTTTTTTGTGTAGGGAACTTAGGTATGCAGTAAGATGTTTCTCAGAGTATCTGTCTGCCCCTACTTGACTGCAGTATATTCCCAGTATCATTCCAGTTTGCAGCAGAGATGCAACAAAATGAAAGAAAAGATCAAGAGATGGCAAAATGGAACTGAAATAGAGGAATAAAAATAAAAAGCTGCCTTGCCTCATAGTGCATAAGTAGGTTAAGAAAATTAGTGACAGTATGACTATTTTGCAGCAAACAGAATAAAACATGACATAGAAGTGGAAGACAACAAACAGAGGATGTGTAAAGAATCAGATGCAAGCCATTTGGGCACTGCTGTGCATGCAGTGTTAACTGTGTTCTTACTGCACTGAGATCTGGAAGCATTTTGCAGAGGGATAAAAACCATCTGCTTTGGGATGGGCTACTGTCTGCTGTATTCCCAGCTGTAGTCTCTAAGCACAGATACCCTGAGGACAGTATTGTCTTGTGGGTACCTTAATTATAGTATGTTAAAATTAACATGAATAATACTGATTTTCTTGTTGCCTTTTTTTTCCTTGAAGACAATAGCAGCTCACCCAATGCCACTGCATCATCCACACAAACTGCAGCAACACCTACAGGAGGTATGTATCTGTTCATGACTGTGAACCTAGAAGTTAGTTCCAAACCCCTAACCCTGATCATAGCAAATTCTAAAGAACAGGCCATCAAAAGTGAGTATTTGAGACAGGTGTTACCATTTTAAGGCTGGAAGCAACATGTAAAACAACTCTGAAGAGAAGCTATATTGTTTCTCAAATTTAGATACCATACTTCGTCAAAAATTATATTTCTATTGCCATTTAGACACAGGAATCAAAATTTAACTTTGAGGAAGAATTGCAAGAAGTTGGGTTTTTTAAATGTTTATTCTTCATCTTTAAGCAAGCTTCTTCCATTTTCATGAAGATGAATAGGTTGTTATGCAAACAGTGCACATCTGTTTAATGTTATTTCACAATAAACTAATTTAGGGTATAATGAAATACTGGGAGCTTGAGTTTCAAGAGTAGGACTCCATTTCTTTTTACATAAGACTCACAGAATCACAGGATCATCAAGGTTGGAGGAGAGCTTCAGGATCATCTGTCCAGCCATCAGTGTAGCACTGCCATAGTCACCCCTAAACCATGTCCCCATGGGCCACATCCAGGCTTCTCTTGGACACTTCCAGAGCTGGTGACTCCACCAGCTCCCTGGGCAACTTATTCCAATGCCTAACCACTCTTTCAGTGATTTTTTTTTTTCTAATATCCCCTGGCACAACTTGAAGCCATTTCCTGTTGTCCTTTCATTTGATACATTGTTGAAGAGACCGATGCTCACCTCACTACAACCTCATGGCACCTAATACCTCAGAAAATAATCCTTAGAGAGCTCATAGCACAAAATAGTGCCATTTAAGTCCGTGTCAGTCAAGTGGAACAATTTGTCATGAGTATGTTTTCATTGTTCTATCACTACTGTATTTTCTTCACAACCTGCCAGAACAACTGTAAGTAAGGTAAAAAAGGGAGTTAAAACATTAATCTCCTGGAAGAACTTGCACAGAGAGATTTCACTGCATTAGTAAGGACTGGATATAAGTTAATGTCATGCAGTTGTTCAGGCTGTGGTGCACAGATAGAATATTGCATCTGAGAGAAGCTAGAAACTGGGGCTCCTTTGTGTTAAGAGCCATGTGAAGGCAGGGCAGAAATGTTTAGTCTGCTTAAGATGCTTTGTGTTTTTGTGGAGTTTTATGCTGATCCTAAAGTCCCAGCTATGTAATTTCATTTCTAGTACAACTCTTATATTTTGTCTCTGTAATTTCCAGATAAGCTCTGAGCTAGCACACTCAGAAGGTGCTTCTTTTTTCATTTAAGTATAAAATACTCACTTGGGGAAGAAAAAAAACCCCGAAGGTCTTTACAAAGGTCTTTGCAAAGACCTTCCTTTTGATAGGAAGCAAGTGGTGCAGTGTCTCATTCCATTGCCTGCAGTGTAGCAGTTCAAGCATGTCTGACTTGGAAAGTCCAGAGATTTCTGTATTCTCCTTGTTGCCTTGTGGCCATCCCCTAAGTGTGTGAAGCCACAGTGTTTCACCCACTCTGTGCTCCTTCTGACTTCTGCTCCAGCCCTTGCAGGTTTCTTGGAGAGCTCTGAGTTTTACTAGTTTTGGATAATAACACTAAAAAGAAGCCTGAGCCCTTTACTGCTAGACATAGGCTAAACCTAACAGATAGCTGTGCCTTGCTTTGCAGGTTTTGTGATTCCCCTTCTTTGTCTTTTTTTCCCTCATTAGAAATGTCATAGATTTTAATACAGTGTTCATGTATTTTGATTATCTGTCTCACCCTCTTCAGAAAAAAGAATAGTAGGTATATGTGCTTAATTAATTTTGGTTAAAGTCTCTGCTATTATTTTTTTGGGGAGGAGTGGGAGGAAGGGAGTTCTTGGTGAGGGAGGCAAAAGTCTGTTTCATTCAATCATTTTCCTTGCAAGAGAAAGTATTTATTTTCGGAAGGGTATTCCATAATAATCTTGCATGTTAGCACAGTGCTTGCACAAATTGAGTTTTGTGCTTGTTGAGTTAGCAGCACATGCTGCTACTCCTTTAGTGCTCTAAGGATTCTTATCTATATGCTATGTATATATTTTTTTTAAGTTGATGATTATAGCATAGTTATTTAATACTTAAACACAGGTAGCAAACTATGTAAAATACTTGTCACTTAAAAACAAAGCATCATAAACCTGAACTATATTACTGCCATGCATCCTTTTTAAATAATAAAAAATAACTCGGGCAGTCAGGGTTTGTTTAGTGCAGTGTTTGATGAAGCCCAGCTGGTCTTTTGGGGGAAAGTAATTAGGGCAATAAAAGATAAAAAGACAGATGTTGCTAGTAAATATTCTTTCATCTTCACTGTTTGTAAAATAGTACAGGTAAGATTTTTCAAAGATGGAGAGGAACAGATTCGTGCCTGATTCATGTCAGCTTCCCAAATTCTCCAGCTGCCTCAGGTGGCCTCCCAATGATGTTTTGAGATGACTGATGCTAAATACATTATGAAAGATAGGTCTAGAGATTAGACAGATTTTACTGTTAAAGTTACATCACCAAGGATTGTAATCTTGATTAAGTAAAAAAAAAAAAGGATTGCTACTAGAAAAGAGAGGGGGGGAAAAGTAATGTGCAAATGTGCTGAAATCCCTCATAGATGTTTGGATTTTTTTCATCCTGACTCAGGTGTTCCGTAGGGTAATTTAATACCCATGGAATGAGTACCAGCTTTGTGTAACATCATTTTATAATGTTATACATCTAACAGTTAGCCATTGTATTGCTCAGAAACAGAAGGCTCTTTGACACTCAGAAATCTCAGCTCAAAAACAACCCACAGAAAACTGCTTGACACTTGCATCCAGATTGGTCCTTTTTTGGTATCACTTATGTTAGGAATGTACTTACCAGGGGTGGTTTCATGTCATGTAACTGTAGATGGTTTCCACATACACATTTCCTTGCTTGCTGCCTACAATGAGGAACCATTTGATATTTATGGATCATTGTGCCTTTGGGGAGTTTTACCTGTCAGTATTAAAACATGCCCTGAATTTTGTCTGATGTATTTTATGCATGCTTCACAGAGGAACTGAATTTTTGTAATTGCAACAAGGTAAGCAAATCAATATAGTGTTCCAATTGTTCCACCTCAATGAATGCTCATTTCAGAGGGTTTTCTGGGTTTATGGCACAATACAGTTATAACATTAAAGAACAGGAAAACAAATAACATTTACAAAGGATTCTCTATTTTGGTATTTCAGTAGTTTTAATGCTAAATGACTCAGAAGCATTGTGTAGGCTAGTTCCTTTCTGCATGTTTACATTGTTATATTGATGAGGTTTTTTAAAGTTTTTGGTGCTCATATGAGCACTGGAAGCTGTGATACTTAATCTTAGCAAAGACAGTTTTGTATGTAGTTCTTCATGTTTTACACAACAAGAATTCTATTCTACAGAAGCATTTTAAATGCTGTATAAAAAAAGGCAGAAATTGAGCATCACACTTACTGTAGAATTGAGATGAAACTATCCTCCAATTTTTCTATTTTTAGACAATTTCAAGAAAACGTGGCTATAATTAGATAATAGATATAGATAGAAAATAAATAGATAATAGATTAGATAATAGATAATTAGATACAATTAGATATTTGAAATTCCATGTTGAAAACTTTTCAAGGGGTGTAAAATGAGCCCAGCTTGTGTGAAGCTATAGAAACAATACAGAAGTAGACAGCTGCAAAGGAGCTGTTTCTCTCTAGAATTCTTTCATACATAAAAGCTATTTGCATACTACTGTCTGCTTAGAGAAATGTTTAGTTGCATGACAGTCTCATGGTTTTTGTTAGTTCCTTCTTAGAAAAATAAGTAATTGTCTTACAATCATTCTGTCTGGCTGCCTTCCATGAAAGTTCTAAGGATTTTGCTATAAATAGAAATTTCTATTATTCTTGTGTTTTGTATAATGGTATTTTTATTCTGAACAGTTCATTAGTGTTTTCTGAGGAGGGAAGGGGAAGTGTAAGTAAAAGACACTACGTCAATGAAACTTGAGAAAAAGCATTCCAGCCTTTGTTTTAACCTTGGCAAGACTAAATAATTAACTTAAGCAGTACATGTATTTAGTTTAAATTTTATCATGTTTTATCCCTACCACATAAATTCAGAATTCTCTGTGGTATATTTTAATGTATATGGAACCCTGGTAATGCTAGTGTTTCGTTCAAAAGCAAATGAAAGATCAAATCATTACTGAAATTCTTCTGTTCTTACCAGAAAAGCTTTGTTGTCTGAAAATGTAGGCACTTCAAATCAAAAGTAACGCTTGATTGAGAACTTCATTACATTTTAACATCTTATAAGTTAAGCGTGATTCTGTGGAACTAGGTTGTTACAAAAAAAAAAAAAAAGTCATCACCTAACTCATGACTCACCTAAAAGTCATCATATATTATCCATATTATCCAGGTTTTCATTATAGCCTTTCCTTTAAATAATTCTTGACCTTGAGGCCCAGAAATCAGAAGTTAGATCTTCCCAAAGGAAAGTCTGTATGCAAGCCTGGACACCATGCAGTGGCATTTTCATTGTTCCTCTGTCGTTCTATTTGGGCATGATAAATGTGGTCTTACTCAATGAGTGTACAGTTGTTTCTTTTGATTAATTTTTCTGCGTGGTATCACAAAAATTTCCAGGAGTGTCCAGCAGTACTGCTCATGTGACCAGTACCAGTCAGCCCAACACCACCACCACCCCCACGTCTGTCATCCTGACAATTCAGCCCACCAAAACCAGCCAGACAGTGACACCCACCACAGCCTCAGCAGTCACATCGCCACAAGGCAACGCTACAGTGGTGACCACTTCTAAGACTTCCTCCACCTCTGTAACAGGTGAGTTCATTTCAGCAAGCTCATTAAGGCTTGGATGCACATTCACATGGGTTGTAGAACAGTTCATTCTACAGCAGTGTCAAAAAAAAAGAAGAAAGAAGGTATTTGCGTGCTAAAAAGCAAGAGTGAAGTGGGAATTCATTACTAAGCTGGATAATGTTGCTCTGAGTACTCCGCTTACTGAGAGACTTGACAGATTTAGGGAAAAGGAAAAAAAGTACAAGTGGTCTTATCTAGCAGCCACCAGCAAGGAGATCAGCAGTGCAAAGGAGAAAGCCTCAATTTTGAATACAACTTCTGTGTTTGTTCAGCTCTCCTTTCTGCAATTTATTTGAACTCATCTCTAATACTCCCTTTTTCACAGCTGACAGCTGACCTGTATCTCAGAATTTGTCTACTGGCTTGGTAAAAATACTGAGTTCTGTTAGCAATGTAATGAATATTACCCTGACAGAGAATAAAGCATGACTGTGCATGAGGCACCCCGTATGTAAAAGTTGTCAAATACAGTTTAACTGTACCTGATAATACAAAAACAGTGAGTGCAGAATTCAGTATTTCCTTGCACTTTTGAACACATCAGGAGTGCTCACATGTCAGTGAAGCGTCATTGGGTGGGTGAAGGTGTCACCAGAAGAACTTGAGGTTGATCATGTAACTCTCTGTATGTAGCAAGTACAAATAGAACCAGGCACAGACTGGTGTGAGTTTGTAGCAGATGTAACCAGTTCTAGCTGTGGCTTATCTGAGGCCATGTTGTCTGTGTCAATGTTTGTGTCAGGCTGCAGGGCTGATCTCACTTGGGACTGTGAGGGTACAATTCCATCAGACAAGGTAAAGCAATCCCGGCAGCTCATTGCCACCAAGTGTTCTGCTCCCACTACACTGACTGACTTGGAGGCTGTTGGACCCCCTCTTGCAGGATGACTCAGTTATGTTCATCTGGATGAAAGCAGCTTCCTTTGATGCTTAGGTTCGTTTCAGGCCACCTTAGTGAGTTAAATTGGCTCATGGAGGGTATGAAAAACACTAGAACTGGCCTAAGAAGGGCAGGAGCTCCACGTGTAGGAGGGGAGAGCAGGAGAGAGAAAAGGGAGGGAGAAAAAGGGAGGTGGAGAGAAGGAGCAGTTGGTCTTGCAGAGACAGCAAGCAGTTGGATCAGCTGTGCCTGTCACCAGAAGATGGCACTTAAAACCAGAGCCCTAGGTTTGTGTGCTTGGCTTGTGTCTTGTCAGTTGATCTTGGTTAAATTTGTCTAAGTGGGTCTTTAGGTGATAAATCAATGGTGAGGGCAGGATGTAGAGTAGTTCCTCAAAACACAATTTTGCGAGCTCTTTAAAATGTGCCTTTTGTTTCCTTCTTTTCAGCCACATCAAAATCAGAGGCTGTCATAGTCAAAACCTCCAGATTTGATGTGGGCAGTTTTGTAGGTGGCATTGTGCTGACTCTTGGAGTCCTAGTCATTCTCTACATCGGATGCAAAACTTACCACTCTCGAAGAGGTATTCAGTACAGAACCATGTAAGTTTCCAAGGGGTTGTCCCTTGGCCATTTATTACTTTCTTGAGGGGGAAAAGGAAAACCAAATGGGTAGAATGAACTCTGATACATTTGTTTAATGTACATTATATTAGTATCATTAAGAGATTTAACTCTGATGTTTTGTCTTTCACCACTTTTGCCATTCTTCATAAGCCTCTATTCTGTGTGTTTTTCTTTTCTCTCATCTATTATATAAAATAATTCTATTCTTTTTAGAAGGATCCTTGTCTTTTAGCTAGTCCATGAATAGTTAACATTTCACTGAAACTTCCTGCAGTTTGCAAGATTTCTTCTTTCTCCTAGACTCTGTTTGTCTGTTCATTCTTTGGTGTTTTTGTCCCCCTTGCCATTAATGTGTAGTGAATTCTAGTCAAAGTTTCTTGTCCTTACCAATTTCTTATCTTACCCTCCCACTTGCTATTATTTATGTTTGGCTCTACTGCAGGCTTCAGGACTCACCCACATTTAGTTTAAGAACTAGGTTGCTTTACTTTTCCTCTTCAGTGTCATCCATCTCAGTCAAGAAGCTTGTTCTAAGTGAGGTGATGTCATTACAGTGTTGAGATACTGGTATCCAGGCCTTTTTTTCACTCCATCTTGACTCCTCCTTACTGGTCATGGAGTGAAGCCAGTCCCTGCTGCACCATTACCCAAAGTGGTGTTTGTGAATGGGTATTTTAAAATTCACATCAACAGCATCTTCAAAACAAAGGGAACCTGCTGCTGAGCTTATGCAGTAGCTTTGATGAACTTTACTACTGGTTATAGGTAAGACAGATAGGATAAACAGGCCTGAGCAACAGCTGATGTAAGAGTGCATGAATGACATGTGGAAGACAAGGTGTTAATGAGGCCAGTGAAGCTGGAGGAATGTTGACAAAACAAAACTGTTCAGCTAAATTCAGGCCTGTCTCAGAGAAGACTGTAACTCCCAGATCAGTGTGTCCTTACTCCTTCCTAGCAAGGCATCCTGTGCTCACAAAATAACCTTCTCAGCAGCATCTGGGTGGCTCTTTGTCATGTTGGCTGTTGCTTGTAGTGCAGAGCATTAATTACTGTGTTCCTGTTACAGCGATGAACACGATGCCATCATTTAAAGGAGACTTCAGAGAAGGACAATGTTGGAAACCCATCCTGTCACGGCTGTTCTAACTACTGAAAGAGTTTCTTTCATGAAGATTATCACAGTCTCTAAACCTGTCTTGGGTGTTATCCTGCAAAATGTTGAGAAGTTTTTAAACATCCTGATTTTTACATTGGCTCTTGTAAGAGGAACGCAGCACTTTGTAGAGACAGTATTTTCTTTTTCCAGTACTTGTAACCAGATGTAGAGAAAATCACATACTGAGTCATTTTAAGGTACACACACAGCTCTCTGAAATAGCTAATTACTAGCACAGGCTATTGCATCCATGTGATTCTAAGTAAGTTCAGGGGTTTTTTTCTAAAATTTTGTATTAAATTGTATTTATTTTGAAGTTTGATGTGAATGTTAGTTTAGAAATTTCAGGTTTTGAACAACTCAGTTAAGTTTTAATAGGCTTCAAAGGAGGTGTGGTTAGACAAATGTATAGAAGGTGATAATAATTACTCCTAAATGTCAGTCATTAGCTCACCAGTGAGCTGCAGATGCTTTCCTTAATAGGCTGTATAAGGAGAGTAGCTGCAGGAAACATGGACAGAGTGGAAGTATCCATCCATAACCCTTTTCTCTAAAAGCTTCTTATTTTCTAACGTGTACTAATGAAGCTTGTGCAATTGAAGATTTAATGTAAATGGAGAAAAGTAATTTTGCCATTATAAATATAAAAAAATTCTAAAATTGGCTTTTAAGTTGAAGGTAGCAATCACTTGGCTCTTGGTTTTTATTATTATGAAGCTGTCTGCAATGTTTTAGCAGCATTTGATAATAATTCAAAGTTATATAAAGAAGGGAAAACCTATAAGACAGCATTTTAGCAGACTATAAACTGCATTTTTACAGCTGTTTTCAGAACTTGGTCGTGCTGCACAGATGAACAGAGGTCTGGTCAGAAGCCCAGCTGAAGGCACTGGGGCGTCTCTGAGCACACCTTCAGCTGAAGGCTCAAATGCTCCGGGGGTCCTGTGCAGGATGGCTGGTGCTGTTCCCGTGTCACTTGTGCAGGTAAATCTGCAGGTAAATCTGTCACCACTCAGGTGAACCTGCTGACTTCAGCACATGGGCTCCTGACTTCCACTGCTGTAAGGAAAACTAGAACAAGTCTCCTTAAGCCACTGAATGATTGTTCAGTCGTGCTCAGGCTTCACTTTAGACCCATCCCTGTTGAAGAGGGTTGGTGTGTAAGGTTTGACTGTCCTGGTTACTGCTGCCACCAGTGCCTCATGCTGGGCACAGGGGACATGGTGACAGGTGAGGAAAGTCACAGTGGGAACTGCACACAGGTCTGTTGAGGGCTGGGGAACAACTCATCAGGGAAAATGGAAAATGTAACTACTCTGGAACAGATTATTTTCTTAAGCAATAGATTATTCTGACATGCAATGTTGAAGTGGCTATATGGGGGTTTTTCCTTTTTCACATGGACTAAGTAAAACTGTTTCAACTCTAGCAAACCATGGCTAGTGAGGCATCTTAGTAGCTGCTCACCTGAAAAGGGGGTAACAGGGCTGTTTCATTTTTTTACTGCGTTTGAGGGTCGGGGGAGAGAGAGTGATTTGAAGCAACTTTTGTATTTTTTCTTAATTGTATTGTTTGGTGGAATATTACTGGATTTGACTTGAAGAGTTACGGAAACAATTCTTTCATAGAACTGTAATTCCTTACTTTGTAGAAATTAAGATAGTTAAGTGCAACTCAGTTACTGGGATTGTCTCACCTCTACTGTACAGACAAATAAAATTAAATCTTTGGAGTTACAACATTAATTTCAGTTGAATTTTTAATTTATTAGCTGGTTTTGTAATTCCCTCAGTCCTTTCCAGAGTCATAACCATAGCCACTAGTCATTTCATAGCCACTATATATACTTTTAAATGCTAGAATACCAGACCTAGTTCACTTTGCCTAGTTCAATAATTTTTAATTTATTCTGTAATCTAATTACTACTGTAAGTAAAGCAAAACTATGTGCTTAAGACTTCAGAAGTGTCAGTGCAAACATAAAACCAGACCTCCTTTCAGGTGTTTGGAATCTAGACAAAGGGCAGTGCAATTGATGAATTTTACTTTATCTTTGCTTTCCAACAGGAAGTGAAATCCCAGCTTTTTTACTGATTTATAAAGGGAGCTGATGCTAAGGTCATTCAGCCCTTCCTTAACTGAGTTTGCTAATACTTGTAAAGGTGATTCAGTCGTTTCTAGTCCATCCACTGTGTGTGTTTTTCAGTGGTGGTGGCTGAGCAATGCAGTTCCTAATTCCGACTGCCTTAGGAGCCCCTCTGCTGACACCTCAAGGAATTGCATTTACAGGATCCCGTTTTAAGCTGGCATTTGATTCGTTATTGCAGCTCTTTCTATGCAAACATTTTACCCTTCATATTCATGGGTTTGTGCTTCATGCTAAAGTGTTTTTATTTAATACTGCAGGCTGGGGGAGTCACTCACTGACTACGGAACATGGCCAGTTTAGGTTAGCTTTCATAAATGTTACTTTTGCCCTTCAAACGCATCAAGGTCAAGCTTACAGTCACATCTTGGGGCTGCAGTATTCTGCTTTCATCCCACAGGTCTCAGCTCTCCTTTTGCCTGTATTGCAGTACCAAATCATAGCACTTCCAGCTTAATTGGTTTGATGGGGCTCTGCATCAAAGGCTTCAAGGCAATCTGGAAATGTAGTGCTATACTTGTGTTTTTATTTAAAAAAAAAAAAAAAAGCCCATACTGTTAAAGCAAGATCATGTTGCTGTGATAATATTCAGTAACTTGAACATTATCCTTTTGTAAATATTTCATACCTTTCTTCTTTGTTCAGAGCTCTTACCTACTCATGCCACTCCATTTTTACCCTGAAAAGTTACATAGCATTCTTAACAAGCTTTGTTGAAAAAGATGTAAGCAACAATGTGACAGTATTGCCAAAAGCGAAGTGGAAGGCACCAGAGACTGGAAATTGCCTAGAGAACTCAGGAGGTTAAGAATTTAGCTGTGATAGGGAAGCAGAGGGAATGAGAATGGACCTGTGGAGAAAGTAAATGCATTTGTGAGACAGCACTGAAGGAGTTCCAGCTGGTGCTCCTCACAGCTGCTGTGTTATTTCCAAAAATGTTGTGCTCCAGCTGGGAATACTGCTGTGCTCCAGACACAGGATGTATGCAATATTCCTGCTATCTGTATCCCTCAGCAAGACTGATCACTAAACTACAACGATCCTGAAATTCACATCCTCCACGCCCTCTAAGCCTTGCAACCCACGCTGTCACCTCATGACAAGCCATGGGGCTGAAACACTGATGTCCAAGAACTTGAGCTGCTCAGTCAGCAGAGCTGCACAGGATGCTGGGGGTAGGGGCTTTTTTATTGTTTAACCCAGACAGAGCTCTGGGAAAAACTTTCAAAGAAGGAAGTTGATGCAGAACGAAGTGTGAGCATTGTCAGCTGGTTCACAAGTGACAGAAGTCACTTGACCCTCTCCCAGTGGAACACTAGACTGTTACCCATGGTTTAACCTTTTGCCAGGGTTGTTTGCAATGTGCTACAGCCAAGCCTGACTACAGCTTTCTTGGACTAGTCCTAAGGAGACCATAAGGAGACCACAGCATTATCAATCACTGCACCCAGTCATTACAGCAGGGCGTAGCAGAGTCATAACTTACATCAGCCTTCCTGGCAAAACTAGGTCACAGAGTTTTACCCATTAGTTTCTAGATCAGGTTCTTCCACTTCTCAAATATATTCAGGTGCCTAGTGCAGACAGCAGATGCTGTTTGAAGCTGCTATTTGAAGGGATATTCAAACATTCAGTTATGGGCTGTGTTGCAGGACCTGAGGGAGATACACACAGGCATCACAAATGACACTGAGCACTTTTTAAAGCCCTGAATATCCTCTCATCTGATTTATATGTAGTTAATTGCAGTGTCTGAAAACCTTTCACCCTGTACAGTTCTAAAGAATAATGCTTTGCTTAAAAAGTCTGCCTGCCAGTATGTTTATTCCTATCCTCTTCCCTGCTCAGAAACAAGGTGTACCTGCAACTCCACACTCTTCAGGTGAGCCTGACCTCCTCAGCTCCCCTTGCAGGTTCATCTTAATCTTTCGAAAGTACACTTGGTTCTAATATTACTAATTTCTCACCTGGAACAAATCAATGAAATTTCCAGTCCTGAGCTTTCTTACTTAAAACGTTGTCAAAGGTTGTGAAAACTTCTTGTTGCACAAGACAGAAGAGCTTTTAGAGGCATTTCAAAACAAGAAAAGGAAAAGTCCATGAATCAAAGCTGTTTAAAACTCCATGCTAGGTTTGAAACATTTACTTTTTTAGTAATAAAAATAAATGGAAGATATGTACATGTAGTAAAGTTGAACAAAAGTCTACATTTGAAAGAATTACAGCAAGCCACTCTACAGGTAAAGAATCCAGGTCTGGACTGAAGACTCTATTATCCCCAAACTCTGTTATCCACAGTCAGGCTCCAAGTGTGGGCAACTGTGGACTGGAGATGACTGACTTTACATGAGAGCCAGACCAACCGACTCCACCACTGCAGGACCTGCTGCCATTAACCTGGCAGCATTCTTCCCGTGACTGACATGAATCCTTGCAAACTATCTATGAACACCTCTCTTTGGAGGTCTCCACCATGCAAGTCGAGGGATAAAAAGCTGAAAAAGGTAATGAGTCAACCAGTAAGGGAATAGGAGCTCCCAAAATACCAGCTTACAAAACAAAATCCAAGACTTCAGAGGTGCCTGGGAGATCCTATTATTTAACTGCACAATCCCTATAAAGTTCTAAACACAGAAAAGTAGCTTTTACATTTAATCCCTAGCACAGACTGTATAGCTACTCTCGGTCTCATCTTCAAGGCCATGAGGACCAGGATTTCTGTCATTTGAGGAATCAATTCAGAAGGAAGTACCAGATGCTGTTGCGGTTTTGGGGGGCAACTATTTGTTTTTAAATAAAGAGGAAATCACCAAATATCAGGGAAGTTCACTTCTCTGTTCAAAAATGAAAGAAAGACAAATTGAATGAAGTTTTATTGTACTTTTACAGGCAAACAATCCCAAACTTTTGTCAGGAAAAGACAGCATTCTAATCACTGCAGTCTACAGATAAAAGTTAACAATGGCAACAGAGTAAACAAGCCCAAGTTTGAGAAGTAGAAATATTTTAATTCAGTCTTCATAAAAACTATTAGTAATAGACATTACTACACAAGTAATGTATGAAGACATGAAAAAACTTTGGAAGTCCTGCTGTTCCTGCAACAGTTATCCTCTTTTCTCCTTAAGTCGAGAAGAAAGCCAAACCAGAAGTAGCTGAAGTTAATTAACATTAACTATTAATAACAGCAATTTTAGTACATTTCCTCACATCCACATGGAGGAAACTCAAGTGTTATGTCAAGCTCCATTTTAGGAACTTAACAAAAAACTTCTTTGAATAAAAGTGACACTAGTGAAACTACTTTCCCTACTCAGAAAGGAATGCCGCAAAAACCTCACCCTAATATTAAGTTAGTTTTATGAACAAAGAATCTTTAGCACCAAAGGCCTTCTATATATAATTATACACACATCATAATGAGGATACACTTTACTATCACAATACTTTGCTAGGTAGTTGATTAATCCTCTTCTGAACCACAATTTTCCATTCTTAAGATACTGCTGTGTTAAGCTTCAGCAGCTGGAGGATGACAGAGCAAAGACTTTGCAAATTTCCCTCTTTACGAAAGAAAAGTCCGGACTGTGCCTTTTATTGTCCCCCTGCAAATAGGGCATTTCCTAAGGGATGGTGCACATTCTTTGCACACCACTAAGTGACCACAAGGAATAAAAACAATAGAAACTTCTTTGTCCATGCAAACTTTACATGTTCTTTCCTCTTGCAATCTTCTTAATTGTTCTTCCATAGGTAAACCTGGAAAAAACAGTTATATATTTGTCAGTCTGAATATATGTGATCAAAAATATATTTATTTAGAGTGTAGCCATGCCCCTTTTCACCTTTTATTTCCCTACCTGTATTGACTAAATATAGATGGCAGTGAGCATTTTTAGAGCTCAGAGAGTGTCATGCAAAGAACTAAT